TAAACCAATAAAAGTGTGTGTGCTCACAAGGAAATGGAAGTTTTCTGACTTTAAACAGCCAACGCTGGTGCCTTATTGCCCATGATGCATTTCACCGTGTCCTCCATCTTTTTCTCTCTTTCAGGTGCTCATTTACTGTTTTTATAGTGATGTCCTAGCTGCTAGCTGCAGGAAGAGGCTAAAGCTGCAAAAACATTAGCCGTTAGCATATGAAGCTGCTACTCTACTGTATGAGGGGCGGGACTAGGCAGCTCAAAAATAACCAATCAGAAAAGAAGACAGAAATGCCGACTGTACCGCGCGACGTTGTAGTGTTTTAGCTGTAGTCAAAAATGGCGTCTGGCGATGGCGCAGACATCTTTCTTTAGAAGAAAGGCTTTTAGCACTTCTACTTGTTGTGGTTTTAAAGACATTCAAGTCATTTAGAACAGAGGAAAGTGCTGCAGCGAACTCCGCTTCAGTCGCCATGTTTATGACAAACTCAGCATCATGGTGTGTAACGTATGCTACTCAGCGCTGATTGGCTCGGTTAGAGTTCCCAGACCCAGAAACATGGGTCTGGCTGGTCAGGCTAGATGTTGCAGGTGCATGGTTTCAATGGAGCGCCCAGAGAGGAGCATGCTAGCTAAGATGCTGGGAAACTGGTGGAACTGGTTAGAACGCCAAAAGAAAAGCAGGTGCAGCTCAGGAGCATGCTGAACTCATACTGAATGAACCACCTGACCTGTGTGAGCCCGTACGTCACATTTGTTTAAAACAGTAGAAACTAAACTGAAATACATTCGCTCCTAAGACATTATCCTCTGGTGCCGGTTTTCCCAGCTGGGAAAACAGCTGGAGCCAGATGGGGACATTTACAACATGTTTTTTTTTTTCTTTTATCTAAACATACAGAAAGAAAGTCAAATGCCAGTGAAGGTTAATAAAGAGATGGGAACTGGAGAATACGACCAAAAGTGTCAACCAGTGCGGATTCAAGTCATTTTCATACAAGAACATGGACGTTCTTTGAGACGGTCCGGTCTGCCCTCCGGTGTTGGAGATGATGCAAAAGAGAAAAAGCTGCAGGTCTTTACTCAACAGCCCTTTAAAATAAATCAAATAGAAGGTTTGATTCGTGTTTGTGTTGATGACAAGTCCACGAGCTTTTGGACACAACAATCACAAAGTGAGTCAGGTAGGATTTCTAAGAAAGAGTCACATTGCAGTGACTGCTACACATTACCTGTTACTTTATATCACGTTGCAGCTTTCCACTGATATCGCCAGCGACTTGGTTGGAACATCTTAGTAAAACATCTGGTCCAAACACTGACAGATGTTTGCATTTTCACATGAGGGCTTGCAGAAATGTTCTGGGCAGCAGTGGCTATAAACACACAGCCTGGCCAAAAGAAGTCACACCTGGATCTAAATTAGCAAACCGGTTGGAGCCTCCTTTTGGATAATTACTGCACGGGCGATCGTCTTCCAGCAGGCAACCAGTTATTTAACCCAACTGGTGCAATGAGTTGCTTCTCATTCCTGAAACAACCGTGTAAGACGCATCTGCTGGTTGTGGAAAAGACGTTGGTCTGTCTGAGAAGGGTCATGCATCAAGCAGAGAAAACATCTAAGGAGATGCAGAAACGGCTAAAACTGGGTTGAGAACTCTCCGACGCATTTTCATTTTCATGGATTGGCCACCACAGAGTCCAGACCTGAACACCACTGAGTCTTTGGGATGTGCTGGAGAAGGCTTTGAGCAGCACGGAGAACTCAACCATAGAAAGTAGCTTCAAACGACAGAAGCTGGAGTCTTATTTCCTGATATTTGGACATCTCTCCTCTGATTGGCTGAGAGCAACACAACTCTACAGCTGTGTCCGTTTGCTCTGCAACGTTGATGTTTTATCTCCACAAATAACATAAGCCTGGAGGAGTTCTGCTGAGTGGTAGAGTTGCTAATGCTAACATTAGCTTCTACTAGTAAATACGTTCACTGCTGTGTCCTGGATGCTAAACCAACAAAAGCTTTCCCCGTCATGAGTCCAGACGGGTGAGTCCATGAACAGTAGCAGTGAAGATCTGTCAGGATTTTCTAATCCTAGAGTTTCACCACCTGTTTGAAGCACCTTGTGGTTTTTATCTTGAGACGCTATAAAAAAGATTTTCTTTCCTTCTTTTTTTGGTTTTCTATCAGAAGCTAATGCAGAAGATAGGTGTAGGAGACTATTTTCATGTTTAGCCTGCATGCTAAACTTATTTTCAAAAATAATAAGTCAGAAAAGCTCTCGTAATTCTGATCGATCTACGTTCCTACCCTCACCTATGGTCACGAGCTTTGGGTAGTGACCGAAAGAACGAGATCGCGGATACAAGCGGCCGAAGTGAGTTTTCTCCGCTGGGTGTCTGGTAGGGATGGGTACCTATGACATTTGAATCGATCCGGTACTAATTCCGGTACCTACGAATCGATACCGGTACTTAACGGTACCAATTTTAGATACTTTTGAGTGTTTAATATTTTTAATTCTCTTTTATAATTAAATATATATTTTTTTCTCATTATATAACCATATTTGATAAATATCACAATAAATAACATACAACTGTTTGTATTTTAACATCGTCCTTGTAGTTTTATAAGCTGATAATTAAACTGAAGCAAACATCTTTACTGTGAACTAAATTTACTGTGTATCTTCATTCCTTTTGCCGTCCTTTTTCAATTGATTTTTCTTACTGGGAAGTTAGAATTTCCGAGGAGAAAGCGAACGCACCATTAGCTGATAACAATGGTGGCAATGGAAGCTAACATATCAAGCTAACGTTATCTTAAACAGTTTATTTAGCTGCTGGAGCAGATTAAAACGATGATGCCTCACACTTAAATCGTCGTCACTGGTTTCATCTTCACCCAATCACCCGTCGCATTTAGTAAAGTGAAGCCAAACTTTAGTGCGCGTTCCTGTTCTTCTAGTCGGAATTTCGGAGTTTCGAGGAGAAAGCGAACGCACCATTAGTGAAACGGAAGCTAACAAATCAAGCTAACGTTATCTTAAACATTTTATTTACCTACCGGAGCTGCTCTGTTTACTACTCGCTTGCAGCGACCGATGACATAACGCTCTTGCGCATGCGCAGCTGTCTAGGCAAGTTCTCGTTGTGAAGGACGGGTACTGAAACGAGGCACCGTTTCAAATGAAGTGAATCGGTGCTTGGTCGGTACTGTGGAATTCGGTCGGTACCTTAAAAAGTACCGAATTCGGTACCCATCCCTAGTGTCTGGGCTCTTTCTTAGAGATAGGGTGAGAAGCTCAGCCATCCAGGAGGGGCTCGGAGTAGATCCAATGCTCCTCCACATCGAAAGAAGCCAGTTGAGGTGGCTCAGGCATCTGGTTAGGATGTCTCCTGGATGCCTCCCTGGTGAGGTTTTCCGGGAACGTCCAACCGGGAGGAGACCTAAAGGAAGACCCAGGACACGCTGGAGAAGAGAGAAGTCTGGGATTCTCTGCTTAGGCTGCTGTCCCCACGACCCGACCCCAGATAAGTGGACAAAAATGTATGGATAGGTATATGGATGGATGGATGGATGGATAAGTAGAACATGGTTCTGAACCTGGTCTTTAAGAACAAAAGATTCCAAACTAACATCTAATGACTTTCCTTGGTTTAGGTCAAGTTCAAATGTCACGATTGTTGTTGATGATCTCCAAAACTGTTGGGGGAAATATTCTGTGACACAAAAAAGAAGGGAACCATTTTACACTGGATGTATTGGGCACATACTCTCCATCTAACTGTGTATTTCATAAAACCATCAGGAATGGTGGTGGTAGTGTGATGGTCTGGGGCTGCTCTGCTGCTTCGGGACCTGTACCACTTGCTGAACTATGAGGTCTGCTCTAAAATGAAGAAGAATATCTCGCCTGGAGCCCAGGAGCAGCTGGGTCATGTAGCAGAACAACCAATCAGAAACGAGGGCAAGTCCGATTCTGGACAAAAATCTGATTAAGATGAAGTTGCATGACTTTAACCATTCTCAGTTCAGTTCTGGAACGAAGCAATGGCCAGAAGTCCTCCTCAGCGATACGAGAAAGAGGATCACCACCACAAAGGCTCAGAGAGCCACCACATTTTTCACCTCAGACCAGGTTGTTGGATAGCTTTTAAATAGATTAATAATTTATTGATTAGGGTGTTAGTATAAGTAGGCCTCATCGTTCTAAAAACAAAACCTTGCCAACACAGATCATCACGCATATTCCAGAGATCCCTCCCTGTTTCACTTCAGTCATGATGTCTGACAGAGATTTCTCTTTTTCCCGTGTTTCTTTAGCTTTTAATCTTTGCCCTAAAACAGGCTTTTTCTCACCATCCCTGCAGACATCTCTGTTGTTATACAGTCCTGAACATCCAAGAGCAGCCGTCTGGGCTTCTCCTACTTTATTTCAGCTGATTGATTCAGGGACAACCGACCATCTGAAGGATGATCTGACTCCAGCATAAATAACAACAACCAAACTTCTGATCCAGGCTGGTGAGGGTCACGCGCACCTCCACTACCCCCACCTCCACCACAGGAGGAGGGCTGAACTCAGACTCAGGTAAAAAAAAAAAAAAAAAGACACCAAGCAGCTAAAATAACAGGCAGTAAACTGGTGATCAGCTGTTTTCAGTGGCTTTGCTCCTAAAATAAACTTTTAGTTATGATAACGTAGCAATGCGGTCTCTCCATGTCTGCGTAATGAGCTGGGTGGATTTTTTAAAGTAGTTCTTAAAAAACAGAAAAGAGAAACGCAGCAGGAAGCGTGACGGTGCGTAACCCGCATTTGCTCACCAGCTGGCCTGTTTATTATTCTGAAGCTGGCACGTGACTTAATTTATTTCATTAAACTCGGGGGAAAAACTCGCGTAGAAAGTCAACTAATGACAGTTATTGTGTAAAATTACTGCAAATCCACAAAACATTCCAGGAAAGTCCGCGAGACCAGAGCCAGAGCCAGAGCCGGACTCACCACTTGAACGTCGGACGATGTTTTCTAAAAAAGTGTTCTGCGGTGCCACCAGCCCTCGCTTTCCCCCGGGCATCCTGCTGCGGGCCGGCGGACAGAGCTGCTGTCGGTGGCGGGGCGTCTGCTGCTCGGAGCTCGGTACAGATTCTGCCTCTCAACCGGGCCGGTGTGGAAGCGCATCGTAACTGTGCGCTCGGGCTGCTCGGGGCGCACTGAGCCAAGGCGGCGGGCTGCAGACCGCTGCGTCCAGAGAGCGCTGGGACGCATGCGTGTCTTCTACTGGGAGCGAGCCGTGCTAGAGGTAGAGCAAAGAGCCTGTCAAATCAAATCTAAATAACAGAGTTGTTTTATTTAGATTTGATTATTTAGTGAGATGAGTTCAGATTCAATTCTGTTATTTTATAAAGCGCCAAATAAAGACCAGAGTCTCAAAGCACTTCACAATCATTCCAATACAGGTCAGGTCATTAAGCCAATCAGTAAAAGGTTTCCTAGGAACCCAGCAGGTTGCATCGAGTCACCGACTAGTGTCAGAGTCTTTACAGCAATCCTCATACTAAAGCAAGCATGCAGCGACAGTGGAGAGGAAAACTCACTCCAGAGGATCCTGGCTCAGTAGAAGCAGCCATCGTCATAGAATAAAGTAAAAATGAGAAAAATTTGCAGTAATTAGAAAAGAAAAAAAAATAGAACAACACACTTATGAAAAAGTAGCAGGAGGAGCTGTGGACATAACATTTAAACATTTATGAAGTGAAAGTGTACATGTTGCTTTTTAATATCAGGTTGTGTACAAGAGCATGGAGATCATGGCCTTGCAAGCTGTAAATACAGGATGGAAGAAGAAGCAAATACATCATTTTGCTAAATAAAGGACTTAAATACCTCGATTTGCTCACGTCTCAAAGAAAAGCTCAAGTCTAAATCATCCAGAGTCGATGCCAAAGGCAGTTTTCTCCATCACAGCTCAGGTGCTAAGCCGCCCAACTTCTCACAGAGCTCTGTGATTGGTGTGACCTAAAAATGTCCGAGGCAGTGATAGACCTGCTGAGGCTACAATAGGAAGCCTAAGCCACACCCACCTACTTTCGCACCAAGGTCCCCGGAAGAATGAAAGAATGAACGCAAGTCAACTGGGCTAAAAACGTTATTTTCTAACCCGCTTGTTTCGTTCCAGGGATTTCACACATGATGTCTGTGAATTTTAAAGACACATTTTGATACCAAGAACGCGCTTATTTTCGAACGGCGGGGAACAATATTTTAAGTTTTGTGTGAAAATAAGTCCAGGACTACATATGTGCTTCACGAAAGTGACGTCATCGAACCAGACACGGAGACAACTGAGGGAAAAGGGCTGTAAGTTCAGCAAACTTCCCACTGGAGGAAAGAACCACCATAAATCTGGTCATGTGGTAAGTAGTGGCTACGCTAGGGGGGAGGAGCTTATGTGGAGACGTCACATATGCGACATGACGATTTCTGGTGTGTAGTCACGCTAATTACAAACCTTTACTAGCTGATAAATTTCAAAGTACATGACTGACGTGGTCAAAACAGCCATCATTACTTTTCATTTAAACTGCAGTACCACATGTGTGTGAGCCAGGGCGTGAGGCAACCCGGATTAGAAAATAGCTTTTAGCCGCGTTGACTTGCGTTCATTTATTCGTCCTTCCGGGGACCCGTGAGCCGACCGGAAGGGGAGGAGACTTAGGCTCCCTATGGAGCGTGTCTATATTGACCTGTACACTGAGAGAAAAAAGAATCAGCCAAAAAAGTAGATGTTATGTAATTTAAAGAGCAAGTCACCCCCAAATCAACTTTTTTTTTGCTGATCAACTGTATAAATGAGTGTCTAATTGTGCTGTAGACACATGTATTCAATAATATGGCACTTCAGTGCATCTTAGTTAAAATTTAAATATTCTACATAAAACTGTCAGTGTTGGCCCTCGTCAGGGAAAAATTCTGCACTGTATTTGAATTTAGATCTGCTACCACTGTTGGCTAATAGGTATGCTATGATGTCAGCTGATGCATTATGATGTCACAACGTCGTTGTGAGCCTGTGTGTGTGTTTGTTAGCGGCTCCGCCCTCTCGGTCTGCCAAGCAACGGCATTTGTTGCATTTTTCAAACATGAAGTGAGAGTGAAGTAAGTTTCTTGTAGGGGGTGACTTGCTCTTTAATTATGTGCAAATGTTCCATTTAACTGTGTTGCAGTCAACGAAAGATCTACTTTTACCTGTTCTAAAGTCTGTTTGTGTGATTTTCTACATTTTAGTTAAATGAACTGTGAATGACACTTTGGGGTTCTGCGGCTCCTTAATCTTTTAATTATTAGCTGGTGTTTACTTGGGCCAAGATTGTATGTCTTTATTTATTTTTTGCTACTGCGTCTATGGGAGATGTTTTTGTTTAGGGTTTGTGCTGCAGCAGGAGCTGGGGCAGATTGTCCATGAGCAGATTCTCTGGTCCAGCGCTGGGGTTGGTGAGGTCTTATCTCAGATAGGACCATCAGTGTGCATGTTGGTGCATGTTTTAGATCTGACTGCACTCTCCTCTCCTCCCCTCCTCTGGGGAGATCCTCAGGGATCAAGCCTTGCACCTTTGCCTTTTTTACTTTATACCTTCTACTCACTCGATTTCCTGGGGTTAACTGGTGTTTGGGCCTAATGTTCCTGATGAGATATCCGAGAAGGATTTTCTCTCTGTTGCACCCTTTCAGAACTCTGAAAAGGAATTTTCATTTCAAACTTCGGAGTTGACATGGACCCCTCCTGACGGCAATATCAGTACAGTTGTGAGATCATGATTTTATCAGCTGAGGTGCCTTACCCCAGCTTTCCACGGGAGCCGTCAGCAGCACTTTACTGCAGCAGCACGTCATAGCTGCTGATAGGAACCGCTGTGGTCAACAGAACCTTTTCCACCGGAGCCGTCAGCAGCGCGAGTCGGCCGCGTCTCAGGAGCAGCATGTCGCGGCCTATTCTTCTTCCGGCACTCACAGAGAGCAGACGCTTCTGCCTTTTCCTCCCTTATCTGTGTTTTCCCAAGGCTCTTCTTGTCCCGTCTGCCTACAGAGCGCTTCTCTGCATTTCCTCTGCAATCACCTTTTTCAGCATTTTTCAACATGGACTTAATTAATTGGTCATTCAACGCGATTGATAAGATTTTTTCTACAATGAGGACGGAGGAGGGGGCTCACGCTTGTCCTCAGGGGACACATGCAGCAGGATATATGTTTGATTCCTGGAAGAAGTGGAATATCATCTGTCTCTCTCAGCTGTCCATTGAGGACGTCGAAGATATGTGGATATTTGGCCTGGTGATCGTTGGATTTCTTCTGATTGGAGTGGGAGGATATCTGGCTTTCCGTAAAATTGGGATGACGGGAGCGATTGGAGGGCGACCCGCAACCATGGACGGCACCGTCCGGGTGGATACCTCACTGACTGGGACGTTGCTCGAGGTGAATCGCAAGCTGGACAATGTCTTAGCTGCATTACCGGTGTTAGCGCGCAGGATTGATACCATCTCGGAAAGGGTCACCGGACGGTGTGGAGATGTTTAATCACTGAATTGGCTTCACTGGAGGACTGGAATGATCAATACAGACTTAAGGCAGAGAGGAAAAATTATCTCTGTCTGACCCAAACAAAGTTTCTGTTATCGAATCTGACGCCATAAGCAGCCTTGTAGTTGCATGCAAAACCCCCACGCTGGAAGGAATGCTGACAAATGCTGTGAATCTCTATCCACCCCCCCCCCCCCCACACACACACACACACACACCTTCAGATTGTGGTCTCCACCGAGGTCATCAAGCTGAAGGACTCACTGCTCTCTATGCTTCCTCATGACCTCCCTCCCACCTGTTGGTCTGCAGCTGGTCGATGCGCCGCAGTGGCAGCTCCCATTGGAGGCTTCAGGATCCCGCCCACCCCCACCTCCCCATTGGACTCTGATGTTGTACACATGCTGTCTGTGCTTCCATGTCGGGTGTTTTTTTTTTTTGCATTGGAGTGCTACACCCTGCTGGTGTAACCCTGTTAATGCCTTTTTTTTTCTCCCTCCCTGAACTTCACTCATGTAACACCCTTTTCATCTAACTATTAAGGTAGCGCGACTCATGTTGCGAATGACCACAGTCACCAATTCTTGTTATGTCTTACCCACGTATGTCTGATCTTTGAATTGTGTGTGCTGAAACTGAATTTCATTTCTCTGTATGTCCTGCACATGTGGAGAACATGACAATAAATGACTTTGAATCTTGAATCTTTATGCGCCGGTTCTATTTTCTACGCGCGACGCCTCTGAAATGGGTCAAGTTCAACATTTTTGCGGAAGGAAAGACAGGAAATCGGACGCGGAAATGGAGAGAAGCTCCCGAGATTTTCAGAATAAAGAACGTACTGCCTTCTGGTTGCTTTACTTTTAAAAAAAGTTACTAACTGTGCGGCCCCGTGAGAGGTTACCACCTAGCTAGCAGTCTCCTTTGTGTTTCAGGTCCGTATTGGCGATTATAAAATGGACAGAACATAAAACACAAACCATGTTGTACTTTTCTCCTGCTTGTTGTTGTGTTTACTGACGAAGTCACTCGTGTGACTTCGTGCTCGGTCGGTGACAGCTGCTCCCCTGCTGCTTCACGTCTCGTGGGAAGGGCCGAGCAGCAGCTTACGCGAGCAAGACGTGCTGCTGACGGCTCCCGTGGAAACCCGGGGTCAGATCTGACTGCACTCTCCTCTCCTCCCCTCCTCTGGGGAGATCCTCAGGGATCAATCCTTGCACCTTTGCCTTTTTTACTTTATACCTTCTACTCACTCGATTTCCTGGTGGTCGGTCACCTCCCGCTGCCGCAGTAAAGGTTTACATATCCATAAACACTGTTTAAATATTTCACTCTAATTTCTCCAATGAAGTCATGTGAGCAGATCTGTTTATCCTAGAAAACGATAATCAGATGAAGTGTGTTTGTGAAGAGTTTGTTGTAAAAGCAGAAAATGTAAAACATGGGTGCTGCTGGGTGGATGAATGCTGAGAATCAACAGACCTACGATAACATCTCTTTATGGAAAAACCCAAACAAATGGGTGTGTGTTGTTCTTTTTAGTTGTGTTTGGTGTATTTTCAGCCTGGTGTGTGATACCTGGCTGCTTGTCTCATGGAGGATGTTTCATCCTGGTTCCTTGATTCCGCTCTGTCACAGGCAGCTGACTCTCATCTGTAATTCTGCCACCTGGCAGGAGCC